TTGATCAGTACATGAACACCTCTTTTCTCCAATAAGCAAAATTTGGTTTGATTGATATTATTCTGTTGATCCAAGCCCACAATGAAAATAAAAAACCTTTTGTTTTACATGTAAATGACAGATTAGGCTTGTTATTTAGGAGGCACTGGACATTCGATTCAGCAATTCTGGATAACCTTCAACCATATTCCTGGACTTCTTCCTCGCTTTCTGTGAACATTTCTGCCTCATCTTGTCCTGTTTTGTGAACACATTTCCCAGCTTCTGTGCTATTCTCGCCTCATCTCTTGCTTCTTCACTGTCCCAAACCACTTCTTCCTCAGATGAGCTTAGAAAACTTTTGCAGACAAGGCTTTGAGGATTTATATTTAAAGCTAAATTGGAAACCTGTTTAAAAGGCAAGATTTGTTTGTTGCAATAAAACTCCTGTCTGTCTTTTCTGTGTACATATATTTTTCTAGGATTTGCCTTTCAGTCCACACAAGACAAAGTAGGTTTCTAATATAATGTTGGTAGCAAAGTATGAAGGACAGAAGAGGTAATAGAGAAGGCAACTTGCTAATGCAAAAGCAGTGTACTGAAAGTCACTTTTATTTCTTATTTATAATCTACATGCACACTCTGGATAATAGATGACAACGCTCATTCAGTACTTTAACTTCAAAGCAGAGAGAAGGCATGGATGACAGAGCTGGGAGCTGGAACACAAAGGTACTAACAACAAGAGGGAAAATGCCTGTTTACTGGATTGCATTTGTTAGCACGCTGTCTTCAGATATTGTTCCCCCAGGAATAGCGAGAATATGTGCTGCAAGAACAATGATTTAACATCTGAAAATGGCACTTAAAGAGTTTTCTGTCTGGTAGTAATGTGATGAAGGCTTCTGAATGGAACCTGGGGACTTCATTTCTTCTGTTTATCTATATGTCTCTCTGGTTTTAGTCAGTGGTAATTGCATATTTAACCCCTTAAATAGATGTAACCCTCTCAGCTCCCAACTATTTCTCCCCCCTTTTGGTGTCACATCTGCTTATGTTACAGAACAGCTGTGCTGTCTGCATTTGTTGCCAAAAAGGAAAACCTTTGAAAAGTCGAAAGAATTTAGAAAAGTTCTCGCCAGTGTTCCACCTATATGGGGGCGAGGGAGGTGTTTTTGCCGCTGGCAATTAGGAACTATGGAAAAGTGTTTTAATAGGATTCAGTGTAGCTAGGAGCCTTCTATAAGAAACAGAGACGGTTTTAATAAGAAAGGACATTGTAGATGGGTGCTCTAAATCAACAGTGTAAATTTGCTGCTTATCTCAGCAGTATGGCTCTTTGGCATTTTCTCAATTAGAATTCCGGGGGGGGGGGGTTGTTGAATGGCTTATGTGAAACAAATATTAATATAAATAGTTTAATTATATCAAAAGTCTGAATTCCTCCAAGATGGAGAGAGGGAAAAATGTGTTCATTTGCAAAGAGTGTGTTTGCATGGAGAACGCCATCTAGTTGGAGTTGAAGGTGCTCTGAGGAAAGCCAAGAGAGGGTAGCTGAGCTACTTTAACAGTTTATTTTCATGGTATTTAAATTGACACCAGTGGGTATTTTTTTAATTAGTGCCTCTTTAAAATGTGCACTTGTCTACATAAGTCATTTTGGCAAATTTGACTCATTCGTATAGCAGTAGTTGCTGTAAAAGAGGCCAGCACAGCCTGCAGGAATCAGAATTAAAAGTTTCTGCAAGCTGTTGTCGACAGGACCACATCTCATTAACTTAAAAAATGGAGATTATTTGCCTGAAAGCTTGATTTGACTAACAGTAATCAAATATTAGGCTCAGCGGAGAAAGAGGAGTTGGGGGGTGGGGTGAAGGAAAGAGAAGCTTCACTCTTGTGATCTGTATCGTTGAGCATTTGTGGTTTGTTTTAAATAGCGGTATAAGATTTCTGTTTTGACAAACATAATGGGGGGAGGGTGAGAAAAGAGTAACAAATAGACATATGGCTTTGAAAGTAATCTCAGGTTGGTTTTATTTTACATTCTGACATGCTAACTTTAAAGTTTGCCGGAAAAGAATCTGATTTAGCTGTAGCTTCTTTCATTAAGTAGACAGAATTAATTAGCTTACATAGTTTCCTTGTGAATGATTAATCTTTAAGTACTGGAAATCAGTTCTGTCTCACACTTATCTCCACCCCCCCTTCATCTGTTAAATAGGCATGAACCTTAAATTTATACCCTAGGTTCATTTTATTGTTTTAACTAAATATGATGAAGTAGGTTGTAAAATTGTGCATAAAATCAGCCAAAATAGAAAGCTGCCTTTCTTATCTCATGCATTTGTTAAATAGCTTGTTAGTTCAATTAAGTATCTAGAAGCTAAATCTCTTTTGGGCAATAATTAAGGTATTTCGGTTGTGTTTGATTTTATAAGAATAGTATATTATGGCTTTTGGGATATTACGTTAAACAGAACATGATGATCTATCTTAGTGTAAATTGTGGTGTCCGTCATTTAAGGAGGGCAGTTAAACAAAAGAAGATAAAAGTCTTGTCTATATGTGTGTGTGTGTGTTTTATGTCTCTGAACTGAGAACATGTGCTGCATTTTAGTAAAGGAACATGAGCCTTGAATGTAAGTAACTGGTTTTTGCATTAGGTACTCCCTAGAGGTAGCAGAAAAATATCATGTCCCTGCATGAAATGCGAATGTGAAATCTACCAGAAAGAAATATTTATGACCATTTTATGCTTGATTAGACTTGGATGACATCTGTTAGAAGACAGGGACTGGACAAAGAGAGAGACGCTGGAGGGCAAATGTTAACAGAGTTGTTTAGATGATGCTGGGGCAGAAGCGTCCATTTACTGCCAGGCAAAACATAGGAATTGTGTTAGCAAAGAGTGCAGCTGACAAGAATCCACTCTGATGGAGATACAGTACTCTATGCTGCTTAGCTGAAATAGTAAAATGCAGCTGTTGATATTCACCACGCTGCCACAATTTATAGCCAGCTAAATAGAGATACTGTGACTTTCTTATACCACCCTTTTCTGGGAGCAGAAAATGACAAAATTGCATAAGCATCAATCCACTTCATTTTTCTGAAGTGTTTATAACTTTTGGAAGAATTACTTGAAACATTTAAAATTTCCCTTCTAACTGTTCTCATTCTAGGATTTCATGTAAAAACTCACCGTTTGGCACCCTAACCTGTGACCTCCTTGTTTTTCTATGAATGAGAAACAGTTCCTTAGTGTAGACTTCTCATTTGAAGAGAAGGAGCCAAGTACTGACCTCATGTGTACCGATATTAAAACCTGGATTTCATCACCAAAGCATCAATAGGCATTATGCCAGAGAAATCAGATTGAGACTGGACCCAGTTATTGAATCTTATTGAACTGCTGTGCATGTGCCATGTAAGATTACTGCATTAGCACGCAGTCATTAACAGTTCTGTGTTTAAAAAAAGAAAGAAAAGTCAGTTTATTTAGCTGGAGGTGTAGATACTTCCTCCCTCCTCCCTGTGTTTCATTCTGGTTTCTTTCCCAGCTCCGTCCTCTGTAAAATTACTCTGTCTAGAATGCTTATGGGAAATGTGCTTTTGTTTTTGTTTGCTGAAGTTCTGTTGTTTTGATTCTGTCTGTGTTCTATGGAAAACAGTACGTCACTTGGAGTGGGTGTTTTGTCTATTGGCCATTTGGCTATTGCACATATATTTCTCATACTTATCACATGATGACAAGGGAACCCAAATGGCATAATTTTTCCAGTTGCTTTTGAGTTTAACAATAGTGAAAGGAAAACACAAGTTAATTGCTGTAGCCATTTTTATACTTATCCCTTGATGAAAGATGATGTTGGTGCTGCTGCCCCCTACTCACCCTCCAGCCCAGGCTTAGACAAAGGTCAGATGAAGGCATTTACTACTCACCCTAATAAACTGATATGGATGGTGTCACACATTTTGCATACAGTTGTGAGAAACGGGAACTTAAGTAGCAAAACCTGTAAAAGGGCAATAAACAATTTTAATAACATTAGTGTGATTGGTTTATAGTATTCTACCTGGGTTTTCAGTTGTGGGTGACATAAGCTGCCCTAATAATGTCCTTTAATTAAAAATGATTTAAAATAAATTTCTGAGTTGGAAACATATGGTATCCCCAAGCTTTACATAAACTGATGACAGCAACAATTCAAATACAGGTTGTAATCATTTAGACTAACATTTTTTATTTTTATTTTTTAAACCTTGGTGTGTGTGTGTGTGTGTGTGTGTGTGTGTGATGGGGGGTTTGAATCAACGGAATTCTAGTAAGACTAGATAATTTTTATATTTAATAGAGAATGGGCAAGTATTATTAATTTTTCAATTTCTTTCTGTAGGTATCTAATAATTGTACCCCTGGACTGCCAACGGCTCCCATTAAAGATTTAAAAAGCAAAAGAAAGGTAGAATCAAAAAGATGGTATTTTGGATTAAATAATGTAAAATAACTGCAGGGCAGTAGCAAAGTGGAAAGCTACTGGCAAAATAAAAGCCTGGTGTACTTTTTCTTTCTTTTTCTTTCTTTTTTTCTTCTTTCCTTTTTGCTTGAAATGCACTCAAAAACTGACACAGTTGCTTGCATCTTGTCGTGGCCAGGGCAGAACAGGCAGGAACAAGAGGTGACATGGGGGTGGGGTAAACTTGTGTGACTGTCTACCCGCAATGACAACAATATTAAATCTGCTCTTCCACCCCCAATAACAATTTTTATCATGAAGATGGTATATTCTATGAACACAATAGCTTGTGACACATACATACGCACATACAGATACACAGGGTGGGGAGATCACATAAGCATGTTATTAATAGCTGAAAGCTGTAATGCCCAGGATTTTGCTGCCATATATGCTACCAGTCCGTCAGGGTTCAAGACTATTTTTGTGAAAAGTCACATACTCCAGAATTACTATTTTTTAAAGTAAATATTTTAATATCAAGAGAAAGAATGCTTTGCACAGAGACACATATTACCAACAGATGCATCAAAGGCAGTTAGAAAGGCCAAGTGAAATTCCTCCTCCCTTTTTCTGTACTGTCTTTATCACTTTGCTCAGTTCCACATAATAACATCTTCATCTGAGATTGCTGTGGCACAGGGGAACTGCATTTGTTGATCAAATTTGGCTGGATAACACTGTGATCTTGTATCCTGAAGTGCGGAGATGTGCCTGGAATATGCAAGCACAAAGCTGGCCTCTTGATTGATTGATTCTGCCTGTCACAGAACAAGATAACTGGATCAGTAAATACCCTGTGCACTTCAACTTCATCTACACAATCAAAAGTGAGGACATCGTGAGGGTAAAAAAAAAATACTGGGGCATGATGGGAATATATGTATTTGTCAGTGATACCCAGGCACTTAGCAGTGAGGAAGAAAAAAGAAATTTGTTGTGTTGTCCATACATGAACAACAACAAATATTGTACCAATCTTTGAATATTTGCCACAGGTCTGCTCAATTCCTGCTTTCTTCCTTTCTTCCCACCACTCGAAAGCAGCACTCATGTAATTCCACTGGGATCAGACTGTTTCATCTGGATATAGACCTATTTCTGTGTTTACTTGGAATTAATGCTTTGGTGGTAAAATAGGCTCTGGGCTCACTCTTGGCTTGGCTAGCTTGTTGCATGCTGTTGACCAGAGAAGGTTACAATATCTTGACAGATCAGAAATAATGAAAGAGTAGTTCGTGTTTTTTAGTTGCAGTGAATTTATTTTTGTAAAAGACTGACATTGTTTTTGTAAAACAGAGCCTAAATGAACTTGCTCTGCAGTCTGTTACACATTCTTTTTGTCCCAGAAGGATGGGTGGAGACACATTAAAAAGAAAGAACATTGGGAATTATAGTTCTCTTTGGAGGCCAGGCATGTTGTTAAAAAAATGGTAAGACCTCTGAACGTGGCTGACACCAGTGTAGAATCACAGCCAGTCTCAGTGATGTGACCTGTCAGGAGGCACAAGCAAGAGTATCTGTTAGTGGGTCCCAGATGCCTGTGCACTAGCGAGTAGCTTAAAGGCAGAGGAGATCTCTGTCCTGATCTCTGTTGCTCTGCAGTTGTATTCTGAAAAAGGTTTGCAGCTTTATTTATTTATTTATTTATTTATTTATTTATTTATTTATTTATTTATTTATTTATTTATTTATTTATTTATTTATTTATTTATTTGCTCTGATGTGTCAGCTAATTAGGGAGCTTGCTTGACTTCTACAGGAGCTGTCTCCGGCTTGGCTTCCCATTCTGAGTTCTTGTTAGCTAGGGTAGCGTATCTATAATGGCTGGTGTTTTCCATTTTGTTGCATCTGCACCCCCTTTATCTTTTCATTGCTTCTTTGAACCTTTCCCAACTGCATGCCTGGTACTGGGTAATTTCTGAATTCTTTGAAGGTTCACTGCAGTCTCAGAAACCTGAATCATGCTGTCTTGGACAGTGCCACTTGCTCACTTCTGGACCCTTTGGCTGACAATCAGTATCCCTGTGGATCTGTGAGACCCTGATTCTGCTGGGTCTTGATAATTCCTTTAGTTCATAATATATGTGGAGGCTGATCCAGTGCACATATACACATATAGTTCAGCTTATGCTGGTCCTACACTTGCCCATTATACAGATATTATTTATTGCAGGACCAGCATGGGTTGGACATCCCACAAATCTGCCAGTCAGTATGGGATATCCCAGGAACAAGAAACCAGAAGTTGCCTGTAATCAAGCACTTGAGCCAAGATTTCTGGAAAAGAGCCATGGCAGCATGCCTTTGGAAACTCCTCCAAATCTCCATAGTGATCTATTTGGTGACTTAAGAGCAACATTTTATATTGAGCATGACTGTAAGGCTTCTATGATTGGCAAGAACTATTTTAACAGTCTATAATGTAGAGTCCAACGGGCATCCTATTTGTGTGGTACATCTTGCAGTTGCTAGAGATAAAATCCAAGCACAAAATGTACTGAAGAAGTGGTTATTTTTAGATCAGGATTTTTAAAATATATATGTCATATATTAATAATGACATCACTTTGTCATTTGAAAGAATAAATGTGGTGGAACAATGGGTTTTAATTTTCTTTTTTGGTTTACGTCTTCTGTCATAGTAGAGCTTACTGTGATGGCTTTTCAGTCAGATCATGTAAAATACGGTACTCTTAGATGCATTCTCTAACTACTACTACAAGTAACAAATACTTGCCTTTTTGTTTGGTGTGTAAGCAGTATATCCAGGCTAAAAAAAGTGTAGGCAGTATATCCAGCCTAAAAAAAGGTGTAGTATGTGTGAAAACAACTTACACTTTTAAATAGAAAGTAATAAACAATGCATCTGAAATAAAGTGAACTTGCTGTTTTCCCCCTCTCTCACTTTTTAAAATAGCATCTTCCAGTAAAGTTAGCAAGTGACATTAGCTTGGAAGTTGGTGACTATCAGAGCTGAATAATGTAAAGAGGTTCCCTTTGTCAAGTACAACACACTGTCTCTTGTATCCTTCTCACTTTTCATCCTTAGTAAAGTTGTGATGGAAGTGAAGTTGTGCATGTTTGGGCCTTACCACTGGGAATTTTACCAACCCGGGTCAGGGCTACAGGACTCAACCATCAATTTACATATTTTCTTGTCTGCTTGCATAGTATCTTTGGCCGAGCTGTTTTATTCAGAGGAAACAAGTCCAGAAGTCAAGAGAGCCATTGACAGACTTCATTTGTTTAGTTATATTTGTGCTAAAATAATTGGCTTTTGACAGGGCAGCTCTTTAGTTTTCACAAAATGTCCCTCAGTAGAACCCTTATAAAAACAGGCATGTAATTTAATTGATTCAATACTTTGAAGAAGAAAGATGTCCTGTAGCAACCAAGGATCCAATCGCATCATTCTCATGATATCCCCATGGGCACGGGCCCACCGTAGTTGCAAACTTTGCTAAAGAATGATTACATTTTGTGGGCTATTCAATGGGATATTCCAAATAACAGCTGTAATTTAATTTTCATGTGGATTTAGTGTCTTACATAGTGTGTTATTATAAATGTCTACTGTGTTCAGTAGGACTTACTTCTGGGTAAGTAGTTACAGAATTGCAGCTTAATTCTCATTGGCTGTAGTTTTACTCCAGAATACGTACATGGGGGAAGAATGCCCACAAACTACCGTGTTCCCCCCCAAATAAGAAAAGGTCTTATATTAATTTTTGCTCCAAAAAACACATTAGGGCTTTTTTTCCCCCGGAGATGTTTTATTTTACAGTCATATTATCTTCTTCTGGTTCCTGCACAATGCTGCACAATGGTGGAGGGCGGGGTTTCACTTAACTGGGGCTTATTTTTGGAATAGGGCCTATATTACGAGTATCCTGAAAAATCATACTAGGGCTTGTTTTCAGGGAAACAGGGTAGTTATTCTAGGCAAGTCTTGGAAATCAGTAGGCATATTCCAGCCTTTGAGCAATGACAAGCTAAGTAAAACCTGTATAAATATAATCTAAATTACTTTAGCATTACTTTGATTACTCTGCTGGAAATTTTACACAATACTATGTATTATTTTTATTTTAACATTTAGTTATCTTGCACTTACAACCTGTTAAATTCACAGTACACTTGTAAGACTAGTGTTGCTAAAGACAGAGTGGCCTGTTCACGGCTTTTGAGCTTAAATTTTTGGAAAAGGGCTTCAGACAGTGTTAAGGGAATTATAATGTATTTTACAGAGAAATAAATACACTTGCATTTGTCTTGGTGTGGCTATCTATAAACTATTTGCTCAGATACATGTCCTACCAAATGTATTTATTATTTATTATTTTAACTTCTGTACTGTCCCATTAGTACAAACACTCTGGGTGGTTTACAACCCATCCAGTGGCATAATTGTAAATCATACAAAAAAGTAACCACAATATACAATAAATATCACACAAACTCTGTCAGAAGTTAATCGATAAACCTGCATGTGAGTAAAATTGAACAAATCTAAACAAATTTAACATTTCAGGTCAATTAATAAAAAAACTAATAAAGGCAGCTTTATACAAATCCATTTTAATTAACTTCCTAAAAGGTGAGAGGAATGGTTCCTGACAAACCTCTGTAGGAAGCTTATTCCAGAGGAATGGGGCCACAACTGACAAGGCACAGTTCCTGGAATAAGCTCTTTCGGCCTCCTTAGGTCGTTGTTACCATCAAGGACTGTGAAGACTGGGTGGGGAAGGTGGCTATTTTGTAAAAGAGACATTCCAACAAGTATTAGATCCTAGACCAGCAGTCCCCAACCTTTTTGGGACTGCGGACCGGCTGAGCCTCTGAGGAAGTGAGTCACCCCCACCGTGCTCGCGCGAGTGCAGGCACTCTCTTGGGTGCATGAATGAAGCAGTGGGGGAGCACTCACACCAGCGCCGGCACACGTGTGTGTGCGCAAAGGAGCTTTCATAGGTAATGTAACCATCCAGATTGGGCAAAGTTTGCTCTGAGTGGACCCACGATCCACTCAGCAGTAGGATCTTTGTCTTATCTAGATTCAGTTTCAGTTTTTTGCCCTCATCCAGTCCATTATTGAGGTCAGGCAGCATTCAACAATTTGCACAGCGATATTTGCATATGAAGAAAAGAGAGAAATAATCAGATGCACATCATTAGTGTGGTAATGGTATTTTGAGTGTGTGTGTATGATAGTGAGGGCTGTGAGTCAAGACTTGTAATAGGGAGACCTAAGGTAAAACAGTCAAAGCTGAGACATTGGATTAAGATGCATTCATCCTCTTCAGCATTGAATGATCATGTCAGCAGAAGATAGTTGATAGTTCTAAAGGTGGTGGGGGCTGTTACCAGGTGGCAGCTTTAGTAGAAAATGATAGTAGGTGAGAATCTTTTTTAGGCAACAGCAGTCACATATGGGACGTGGTGGCGCTGCAGGCTAAACCTCAGAAGCCTGTGCTGCAGGGTCAGAAGACTAGCAGTCGTAAGATCGAATCCACGCAACGGAGTGAGCACCCGTTGCTTGTCCCAGCTCCCGCCAACCTAGCGGTTCAAAAGCATGTAAGTGCAAGTAGATCAATAGGTACCACCTTGGTGGGAAGGTAACAGCGTTCCGTGTCTAAGTCGTACTGGCCATGTGACCACGGAAGATTGTCTTCGGACAAAATGCTGGCTCTATGGCTTGGAAACGGGGATGAGCACCGCCCCCTAGAGTCGAACACGACTAGACAATTGTCAAGGGGAACCT